TATAAGAAAGTGTTGGTGTAAGAGTGATAGACAAAGACAGAGTGAATCTTGATGCGAAAACAGATCAGCAAAGACACTTGATAATATGATGTGCTTCTAAATTGTTAAATGATTAACCTAAAATAGTCACACTTAATGTGAAATTACGTTACATCCGTGAAAATATTAACTAGAAGGTTTGTTAATTTTTAATTTTCAAAACACGGTTGGTAAAAAAATCAACAACTTGAATGGCAAAAATAAACAAATAATACTTATTCCATATGTTATGTAGAGAAAGTGAAAAGCGCCTCTAAATATGTTTTGTAGTACAGTACAGTCTGGCTGTTAGTCAAGTTCCGATGTTCGCAGCTGGAGTATTCCGGTCTGAAATGAAGCTCACGCGGGGACTGAAAGAACACTCTGGAGTAGAACCATTAGAACGTAATATGGTAAAATCATTTTTTGTCTTTAGGCGTGGTTTAAAATAAATAATATTTTCACAATATGTTACAAAACCAAGAATCGTGTAGATTATATTTTTAAATAATAATTTTATTAAAACCACAAGATATTTAACATCATTCAGCTCTTAGATAACTTCCCCATCTTACATTCTTTAAATCCCAAAACTGGCTACGATATTATAAAAAAAACAAGAATTGGATTTTCATCCAACAATGTTTAGGTCCTATTTTATCGTAAACGGCCAGCGTTTTTTGTTTACTTTAAATCATGCGAAACATTTACGTACCACGTATTGCGTAGTCAATTATTTCAACTAAAACCCCTAATTTGACCAGCATTAGGTTATTTCAATGAGAACTTTATCATGTTCATCAATTAGTTCTATTTATAAAACATTCTTTTCACAATCTTGTCATAGCAAGTCTGTAAAAACCAATGTAAACAAACACGTGTTACAGACTCAACAATGACCAATTAATAAATAATCTGCATTTGAACAAAGCATACAAATAGAATGTCATTAGGACTGCTGTTATGATGGTTAATCTCATCCTGTATTTTAAAGTGTACTATCCTACATTTGATATCGTGTTACATCTGTCAATATACTGAGCAATTCCATAGACGCATCGTACAGTTTTATGCTAGGCCTACAGAAAATGTTATTTGTATTCTAAACTAACTAATAAGATTCAACTGATAAACATACTTTTAGAAGTATATTAAAATTTACTTTAGGTGATAAAAAAAACATATTATGCTTAATTTATTAAAAGATTTAGCCTATACAAAAAAATTAAAACCGGTAAAAATATTATAGACTTAAATAATCACATTGGTTATGCCTTTTGTGGATTTTCCCTTTACAAATATGCAGTTTTTTAGGAGTTTTTTTAATGGAGTTAGCATTTCAATAAAACTCGAAAGAGGTCGAGAAGCAGTGAAATCCAAGGGATCGGACAAGAGTAATTGCTTGTGTGATTAAAAGAACGGATTGTGGTTTGGGAGAAACGAACGTGAGCCTAAGAGCGCTGAAGTAATGAAAAGGCGCGTAATTAAACGAACGTTTTATTCATACAACTAGATGATATTCCTAGAATTGAATAGTATGCAATTAGTTAAACTTATGCTTTATAGATTTATTATACAAATATACTAAATAAACTATACAAATATATTATTTAAAAAATAATTAAGATTTAGAGTGCGAATTTGACTTTCTTTTATCTCTTATAAATCCTAGTAGATTATGAAGGGTAGTGCTCTTGGAGGTTTGGACGGAAGGTGAAAATCCCAGCTTTAACGACACGACTACGACAGTCTGATATGTTTAGCACGCTTCAGGAGATTGTTTAGTATTCTGCCACAGCCTTTCTTGGGGATAAACAAACTGCTCTCATGCATGCATACTTTGTACACCATAGAACGCTATAGAATCAATTTCATAGCACTAGAAGAATGTGTGGGCACCACGTCATTTAAACATACCTACAAACGTGCCGGCTTTGTCATGGGATCATTGTTTGAACCAAAAGTTTTTTTAAGCTCAATAGCAAGTTTACTGAAAAGTGTGGAGTCTCGACACATGAAATGCATGAGTTGCTTCTTTGTTGTCTCTCCTTTTCAATTCCTAGTAAATAGTTTATTCGTGTTCATTCAATGTTTTGTGACTGTGTTTAAAAACAGTGACGTGACATTATAAAGACGTTTAATGTGTTGCGTATCAAACTCTGCTTACAGTTTAGGATTCACTTTTGACTCCTAGTGACACAAACGCTAGTGGTCACTTTATGTCATTCTGAAGAGGCAGTGTATTACTCAATAATGTGTCAAAATAAATGTTATGACAAATGTCATACAACCACCATGTCATACAAAAAGAAATAGTAATGTCATACAATTGTGTTGGTGTATAAATGCCCTCCTTACAAGCCTTAAAAATCTATATTTATATATATATTATAAATATTAAACCACCGGGACTTTTTCCCACCATATTAAGTACACATAATATAGATAAAAGCAGATCGTAACATGTTTTTGTGGTAAAGGATTCCGATAAAGCTTTCTGGTTATAGGAAAAGAGCATTACAGCACCATGTATCGGGATATCTGAGGGGGGCTTGGAAATCACCTGCTGGGCTTGAGAAATGTAACAAACCAAAAAGATCTCATGAACAGACTTTTAAAATATAAATCTACATCTTATTTTTATCATAGTAGGTTCGGGTGCATAGTTTTTTTTTTCTTTTAATTATCATTAATATGGATGTCCTACATTATTAAATATAAAATTCCTCCTATTTTAGTCCAAAAGATTAACTGAGTGCAAATTCATTCTTGGAAAAAAATCTAATTAATTAAATAAAAAAAAAACTTAAGTTTAACTTTTAAGTCAAATTATAATTATTGCCGGAATAGTGTATAGACTACTTTAAATACACACACACTTTTGTTTAAATAGGTTCTCAAATATTAAATACTTAAATTAAATGGCTAAGTACTTTCCACCATAAAACATATACATTACATTAAAAATATAATTTTTTTAAGGTAAATAAATTATTTAGACTAATCATATCGGTATTTATATACAAATTATATTAGCATTATTAAATAAATACAAAATCTACGGCTAACGCATTATATACAAACTAAGTAAGTGTCAAATTAGTAAGTTGTGTATGTTGAAGTATATAAACTATCAAAGAATGTAATACAAACACATTTTGATTAAACTTTAGTTTTTACAGTGAAAGTAATATCTACAAGCTTGAAATCTCAAAGTAAATTACATCCAGGTGGGAACCGCAGCTTTGGCGACAAGACTTTCACAGCGTAACCTGTTTATTTCGCTTGAGAGACGCTTGTTTAGTATTCTCCCGCAGTCTCTCATCTTTTGAGACAGCATGAGTATAAAACAAATATAAAAAAACCTGGTAATCAAGAATAGTTGAATGGATTGTGATGATAAATTACTTATAATATTTATACGTATTACGATAAAAAATATTATGAAGTGCGTGATGATTTTGACAGCTCTGGAAAATATATTGTTGATATTGCTTTTACTATGATCACGGACTATAGATTAAGGTTCATTATGTGACAATTATGTTCTACAAATTATAATTTAAACGCTATATATTTAACTAACCTGGGTTACAAGAAAAATCAATTAAAACTCTGAAACCTTTCCCAATGAATAGGGTCCATCTATAAGTTATTTAAGAGTTTTTTACTTCAACTGAACTGTACTGAACCGGTAGGTCTTTTAAAAGCTTTATTAATATGTGTAAGATATATATCGAAGGTACTAAAACAGGCATTCATTAAAACACTATTTACTATCCTTATACACATGTATATTTCATTTGTTATTCTTATAATAAATATATATAAAAGGAAATCAGTAGCGATTAGTAATAAACTAAGAAGGGCCTAATAAGATGCCAATCCACCTGGTATCCGTTAGAAATGTTTTCATTTTGTTAGAAGTTAAATATATAGTTGTAATAACTGACATCATATTAAAGTATTAATTAATTGTTCTTTTAAATACATAATAGTCAATATTAGCAGTTACAATTATCCTACTGTTGTTAAAATATAATAAAAATAATTTTAAATTCAAACCCGCTTTAGTTACTAATGGTTATTCAATTACGTATAGCACTATTGAATTAAGCCAAGTCACTAAAGAATAAATAGCTCCATGAGCAAGAGGGAACTCCTTACTGACGGGGTAAAAAAATATTCGTCTTATTAAAAGGTAAAGAAAGGTCTCTTCTAAAATTACTCTTATTCCCTAATTAAAAGTAACCAGAAAACAACAAAGAGTTCATGTTTGCACCCACATTAGCATAATGAACATGGGTACTTCTATAAAAACCAGTGTCTTGCACACATTTTCATTCACTGTACTGTGACGTTTGTTGAAGGCACCTGAGCATAAGAGGCTGATTTATCTTTGAAATAAGTGTGCAGTTATTTAAAAATAGAAAATATATATTTCAGCTAAACATTTACGATGTCGCTCTAATATTTAGTATATGGGAACTTTCAAATATGTTACGAGTTGATGAGTTGTGTAGGTTCATCTTATGCTGGCTTTGTTTAAAAATCGTAGATAACAAATCCTAAAATAAAAAGTCCTTGGCCAATTAAGATTATAGCTACAACCAATTTTTTTATTACGTATTATTTCTGCTTAAAAACTAAAAATTCTCTATAACCACCTCTATTAAGCAATGCTAAAAACCAACGCCTAAGGAAACCATTTTTAAAATGCACCTTTAACACCATCAAAACCTAATACACCGTACTCGTGAAATTAAATATTCAAGATGAAACAGAAATGGAAAATTGCAATCAGTCAGTTAGATGAGATAATTCTGAAGCTAAACGGAAACTGCACTCCAAATGATCAGTAGACAAATTCCATTAACAAGGAGGTGGCATGGTCGGGAGGAGATGGGAGGTGGTGGGAGAAGGTGGGAGAAGTTGGGAGGGATTGCTAGCGACGCAAGCGTGCGTCCACACAAGAGACGGGGCTTAGTTACTGATGATCTGTCGACTGGGCAGGAGTGTAGTGCTGGTGGTGTGCTAGGAGGGTGTGTGCCATCTGTGAACACCTCGGAGGTATATATACCAGGTACTTACATATATGCTTAGTTTTGTTTACAGGTGTGTAGAGATTACAATTGTTTCTAGAGTGGGGTATTGTATGGTTGAGAAATAAAAGTTTCAATAATATAATTAAAATTAATGATTAACCTTTTTGTACTCAATTATAAAATTAAAATACCAGGAAATATCTTATTGGTACGTGTAATCCATAAAAATCAAATCTGATGGTAGATATACTGGTAAATTACATATATACCAGTGTTAAAATGTGGTGGGTTTTACAATGACTTGGAATTTGATGATGATAATATCTTTTTGCAATAAAAGGAAAATATTAAAGAAATATCTCATTGGTGTATGTTACTTATACAAATTAAATGGGGTGGTATAAACAAAGGTACAATTAATACATACAGTCAAACCTATTAGGTCTATACAATGCAAGCGTCTCTAGGGTATGATTGAGAAATGATATATTTTCAACAAACACTAGCTAGTTTGTAATGATAATAGTTTTGGGGTTTTCCGTTATTAACTGAAATTATTTTAAAATTGGAGTTTTGTATAGAAAGCAGTTTTGAACTACTTTTTTAAATATATAAATAGCATTTTAATGTTATAACAAGATAGGCCTATTCAAATCTTGTACAAGTATATAGGAACCAATATTGGATGCTCGGTAAGCATCTTTTAACGTAATGTACCGAAATGAAAGTAATATATTTCTGTATACTTCTGAAACTAATCAATTTTATTAATCTAAATATAATAATAAATATATACATTCGCCTATTGGGTCTGATGATGATTGGAGTGTCCAATCGAAATCGATCACCACTTACCATCGTTTTTGTATATTTACCGTCTTGTGAGTAACAGTATAAGCGTAAATATATGTTTTAAGTGTTATAAGACGTTTCTTTTATTTACTTTCCGTAAATAAAATTTGTATTATAAAGTTTATTGGTACCGTAATTTAACTTTATCCAAAATATCACGATTAATATTTCGATAGTAGTATGGTAAGTAGTGTTTAAAATTCAAATGATTATTGTGAAATTTAATAAATTTCGTGGTGTTATCTCTATACTATGACTTGCCATAGTATTCAATCCTAAGTTAAAATAAAAATTGTAATCCTAAGTAAAAAGATACCCCCGCCGCAGCACACTGCACTCTAATGGAATGTCCATTTACCTGGCTGGACATGATTTGACGTGATAACTTGGGTTTGCTGCTACAGTGAAGGTGTTGAGGTCTTTTTTTTATTGAATTGGAGATATCTTAGTATGAAATAAACAAAAGTTACAAATTCGATTACAATATATCATTAAACAAGCCAACTACAGCAGTTTATTTATACTTTATAAGAATGACACGGGAATTTAAAATTTCCGTTTTTAAAATTACCTCTGTATCCGTTAGGCATACAACAAAAACGCTTCAATAAATATACATTTTTTTTTTGTAAGACCTACGATAATAGCTCATTCCCTATATAGTAAATTTGCTAATATGCAATAATTACTTTAAAACAAAACAAATATAACATTGAGTCTTATATTTGCTTAGAAGTGGGGGGCATTAATTCTGTGGCAGTTAGTTTTCAATTCCTAGCACATGCCTTGTGCTAATGATTTGTTCTAAAAGTGGTAATGAGTTTTACTTGTCAATGAACAACAAAAAATAGTTGTCTGAACTTTTAATACGTCTCACAACTGTCCTCACAGTCCCCCACATTCCAAAAATGTCCTCACACATTAACATTTTAATAGTTTACCAATATTTTCAAATAAAGGATTTCTGATTTCTACTTTGCTTTGGTTAAGTGAGTTTACCACAGATATAAAAATGGGATTGTTGTATTAAAAACTAATATTGTAGTTTAGTTATCACTAAGGAATTTTTTTATTAGTAAAACTTACCGATGGAAATTATTATAAGGATAAATAAATATGATGCCCAGCATAAAGGAACCTAATGTCTCTTTTTGCAAGTGTTAATATTATTTTGGTATTATTATTGTAACTCATGCCTAGTTAAGAGCTAGTTTTAATGGTTGAATGATATCAGAATCATTCTGATCCAAAACATCATTCTTATTGAGTAGAACCATAATAGAAACTATGTGTGGAATTGGTTAGCGTCATATAAAAGTGTATTCAAATTTGTTGAATTGGTACACATATTATAAGGGATTTGCATTTTATAATAGTGAATTCTAATTCTTTAAGTTTGGTTGATAAAGATTTAAGTATGTCAAAATATGTACATCAAAACATACTTGGACTTTTTGTAGTATGAAGAACTTGGTAATATTGCAATGTATATTATGTTTTTCGTATGTTATTCATATTATGATTAATATTCAAGAATTAATTGTGAATCGTCAAACGAACACTCAACATATAAAACCTTAACCCTACATTTGCTCTGCCCCTATTTATTTAGATGTACATCATAACTACATGAATTTACCTATTTTGTATGGTTTAAAATAGAAGGGTACTATGTATTTATTACTTTCATCGCAGATCTTAAGCTCTCTACCCAGAGATCGTCGCTCTCTTATCGAGACCGACAGGAGTTTTACAATTTATACTATGATGTATTACATGGTATTATCTATAAAAATACCATACAAATATGCATATTACATGAATTGCGAAATTGTAATATGTGATAACAAAATTGACCAAATTAACAAGTTTTAGGATTTAAAATGGATGTTACTTAGTACATCATAGCGTTGGATTGGTGATGGTCATTTCATGAATAAATGCCAAGAAACATTATACGAATTTCTTTTAGTTTAATATTGTGATTAAGAAATGTTAATAGTTACAACATTCTTTTAAGAAAAGAGCTCTTCTAACTGCAAGCTACTATGTAGGGTATATAGATTTTTTCCTATTTGTTTGTTCGTGTCAATATGAAACCATATCACAATGATATCAGAAGATTTAGTTTAAAAACTGTATATTGGTACGTTTTCTCTCATATATCTACAAGTCAGTTTTCCTTCGAATAAACAGCCTTGTCAGTTGGTCTGTGTATACAGCGACTGTCACTGACAGTGGGGTCAAGGTAAACATTTCAATGTGGTCTTACCTTACATACCCAGCAGCTCTTATGAAATACGATACTCCATAGTTGTGGAGTGTTGTGGAGTCTGAACTTGACAAAATAGTTACAGAGTTACGTTGAAACGAGTTTATATGAAGTTAATATTTGGAATGTCAAGTAGACTCTACCATTAAATATTTAAAATTAATAGCTGTTGAAATTTTCTTGAAAGATACAATGTTTGGTAACAAATATTTGGAGACAAACGTTTTACAGACTATTATCCTTCTATAATTAGACATTTAAAGTTACAACTATTTGACGCACTAAAAAAAAAATATATAAAAAAATAAAAACAACTACAATACACGTAATGTGGTCGCAATACTGCCAAAAAAATTATTAACTTGATTTAAATATGCAAAATATCTAATTAGTGTATTGATAATACATTCTTAGGTTATTCCGTAGGCTATCATTCCGTAAATCATTATAATATAACAAATTGTGTAAGAGAAAGATGTATTTTAAGTCATAATTTATCGAATATCAAGAATCTAAACTATTGTGAAATTGTTTTTAATCAAGCAGTCTATCATAGACAGTGTTTAAAACTATAATGTGTATTTATTTTTATTTTTAATTCGAACGATCATTGCTTTGTAAAATATAGAATGTAAAGCTATGCATAATTTTATTTTGAATTAAAAAAAAAAACTTTACACATCAAACTTAACATTTATTAGTGATTCGATGTAATTATAATGAAGTATTTTTCCACCATTCCCATTGTTTGAGCTCTAAATGAACAGATTACACCTAGTTTTCAACTAGACGTTAACGAGGTTAGAGCATTGACACATTGATGTTATGAATAAATAAATAATAAAATATGACTTAAAATTTAAATTTATAAATTTCTCAAAAACAGCCTTTCCAGTCATCAAATCTTACTACGTAAATTTAAGGGAATAGAGTCTTGTGTTTTCTATTGTCAACAAAATACTATCTTAAAGTAAATAATAATGCACCTTTGACAAAACTGCATTTAATTCCATAAACTAAGTTCGCACCGAAACTAGTTTGGTTAAATATAAAAATATATAATTTTTTTACTCACAAACACCTTATTTTTGCTTTGATATGATAGTAGCCTATATTTATCAGTTTAAATTTAAAAATTGCAATAAAGCAGGAGATAAAGTGAGCGAATTAATCTTTAATTACAACGGAAGTTGGTTTTAATCTGCCTTAGCCGTTGAGCAGCTTTTGCAAGTGACGTGGCAATAATTTAGTTTTGCAACTGAAAGTTGTCTTTCTGTTGCTGTCCTGACTTCATTATAAAAGTTGTTGCAGATGTTTTACTCGAAAAATAAGTTCCCATTTTACATTAAACCTAGAGATGCATTAATCTTGAATTGGTCTGACTTTTCGCCATTTCAGTTATCCTAGATACATTTCATTACGGAGTTTAGTCTGTATCGCACCGTATCTGAAAAATGATAATAATGTTTTAGAGTTTTCTTCATTTAATTTTAAGATAACAATGTGTGTATACCGTTAGCCCAAATCTCATTATTAGGCACAGAAGGTTGAAGACGCAATCGTCCTCACTATTTGGGAAATGTTTCTTGAATAATAAAAATACGATGGAATTGCCATTAAGATAAAAATCGCTTTCGGTAACAGTTTTTGTTATTATCAAAAGCATCCTATTTGATTTCATGGTTTTCCATCGCAATCCAAACAAATATTCATATTTACCTAGTTTTTTGTATTTCCCTTACCTAGCCTATTCTATTCAATTTGTAGAAGACTATTGTTTCCCCTGGTGACTTGTTTTTTATGAAGTAAACATTACAAGAGAAACTGACAACTATGTAACACTTTCAAAACTGTTCTTCAGACTACTGGCTTCGCAAAACAACATTTTTTTATGAAATATAATAGCTATTTTTA